GCTGCCCAGTGCTGCACCATCCTCCCAGACCTTGCTGTATGCAGCCCCGTGCGGATGGACCATGCCAGTCCATCTAGTCGAGGCCCTTCTTCTTCTCCATTGGTCCTCCAGGGGCCTTGGTGCCATAATGCATTATGTGCTGCGTTGCTAACTAAACGGTCAATGGTTTGAAACGACCATCTGACTCCATAAGAGAAAGATGGGCACTCTTCTCTAGATACGATTTATGGCCTTGAAAACCCAGTGGAAAATCGTCACAGTAGGAATTGGCTCGGCAGCAATGGGTTCGCGACTTTACCAAGGATAAAGTTAAGTGAGGTTCTAAATGCCTCCCAACTGCGGAGCCTCATCTTCCAGCACTTTGTGGGTGTTGTTAGGTGCTGTTGTGTTGAGTGTGACTCACAGTGACCCCACGAAGAATCCTGTCTTATCCTGCGACATCCACACAGTCTCTGGCACATTCAAGCCCAATTGCTGTAGTCACTGTGTCAATCCACCTGGTTGAGGGTCTTCCCTCCTTTTGCAATCTCTCCATCTTCCCAAGGTTCCTCTCCATGGAATAGCCTTTCCTAGCAACATGCCCAAAGTATATGAGATGAAGCTTTATCATCTTTGCCTCCAAGAAGCACTCTGATTGCACCTTCTTCAAGACGTATCTGTTTGTTCTTTTGCCAGTCAGTATTTAGTACTCCAACACTACAGTTCTTTGGTCATCCTTGTTCATTGTCTAGCTCTCAGATGCATAACAAGGGATTGAAAATACCATGGCCTGTATCAGGTGCACCTTAGTCTCAAGCTAACATCATTGCTCCTCAGTAATTTGGAGAGGTCCCTAACTACAGATTTTCCCAGTGCAATGTGTCTCCTTATTTCCTGACTCTTGATATGAAGGGTGTTAATTGTGGATCCAAAAAAAAAAAAAATGAAGCTGTTAACAGTTTCAATCTCTTTTCTGTCCATCATGAAGCTGCATATTGGTCCAGTGGTAAAAATCTTTGTTCTCTTAATATTGAGACACAATCCATACTGAAGGCTGCATTCCTTGCCCTTCTGCAACAAGTGCTTCAAGTCCTCCTCACTTTCAGCAAGCAAGGTTATTGATGAGTCTCCCTCCAATCCTGATGCCACACTCCTCTTCATAGAGTCCAGCTTCTCGGATAACTTTCTCAGCATACAGATTGAATAGGTACGGAGAGAGAATACAACCCTGAGGCACTCCCTTCTCAATTTTAAACCATGCAGTGTGTCTCTGCTCTGTTCGCACAACAGCCTCCTGGTGCAGTTATAGGTTCCGCATGAGCACAATTAAGTGCTCTGGGATTCCCATTCTTCTCAATGTCAGCCACCACTTGTCAGCCCAGCATTCCAGGGGGCAATATTCTTTTGTGATCTGTAAGATTTTCTTCCTGTACAATTTACTGCCTCTGAAAACCTGCTGGAGCCTCAGCTGTGAGTTGGTTCCGATTTGATGGCACACAGCAACCATAAATTTTTGCAAGAATGTGGGCACCTAACAACAACAACAACAATAATTTGGAAGTTCTGCTGAAACTTGTCCACCAAGAATGCCCCTGCTGGCATTTGAAATATGTGTGGCATGGCTTCCAGACTTACAGGGAGATGCACATAGGTCCAGTGATAGACATAGCACGGGCGGGACTTTGGGAAAGTGAGCAGAGCTCTGATGGTAGCATGTGGATGATCTCGCCTCTCTCCAGTCTTCCCACACCTGGTGAAGGAGCTGAACGCAGGCCTCCACGTGACAATCCTACTGCTGCTCTTCCTGGCCTTGGCTTTGGCCCTGGTCAGCATGGGATTCGCCATTCTCAACATGATCCAGGTCCCGTACCGGGCGGTCAATGGTCCCGGCGGCATCTGCCTGTGGAATGTTCTTGCAGGTAAGGAAAGCTGTTTGCTGATTGTTCTTCTTGTTTTACCATCAACTCAGAATCGACCCCCAGCTGACTCCCAGCAGGTTTTCAGAGACAGTAAAATGCATGGGACGAGATTGCCTATCTTTCTCGCACATAGCAGCTGCTGGATTTGAACTGTGTACCTTTATGTTGGTGGTGCAATTCCTTCCCAATCCATATCCACATCCTTCTCCAGATGAACTCTGAGAAGTGAGACTGGGGGTGTGAGGGAAGTAAAAGGCCCACCGCCCATTCAGCCTTCCCTGTGAGTTGAAATCAACTCAGTGGATATGAGGTTGGCTTAAGGTCATACAGCAGTGAATAGAAGAAATGAGATTCACATCCAGTTCCAAACGGAACTCATTGATTCTAAACTCGCTGTCATTTCACTAATCCATGGCTTTGTTTACGACTAGGTCCTGAGCCAAAATCTCAGACAAAAGATGTGGTGTATGTGTGTTTGTTGATTTGAAAATATTATGATACATAGAAATAATTCACATTTAATTATCTATTTATGTTATCTATTTTAAAAAACCCAACAAGATTCCAAGAAAGAAGACCATTCTCCTCACTCCCCTTCTCTCCATTCCCTTCTTTTTTTGCTTCTTTCTTCTTATCCTTGAGCGTGAAAAAAGGGTTGTTAGACCGGAGACACCAGGCTAGCCCTTCACCTACACAGCTGAGCCTTCTTCCATCTTCCCACCTGGTTCTCAGGGTCCCCCAGGTAACACATGCCTCCAGCATCCTCAAGTATTTAAAGACTGAACTACTTCTACATGCAGCCCTCCTAGAAAAGATGGCACAGGCTCCTGTTGTTCTGGTGGTTGTTTTTAGCTGTTGTCAAGGTGACTGCCACTCACAGTGACCCCATGAGCAGCAAATTGAAAGCTTGCTCTATCCTGTGCCGTCCTCATCATCGGCACCACGCTCGAGCCCGCTGTCACCGTGTCGGTCCATTTTGTTGAGGGTCAGTTCCCCTTTCACTGGTACTCCACTTCTCTGAGCTTGATGTCTTTTTCCAAGGACGGCTGCTCCCTGGCAACACGTGGAAGTTAGGGGGCTGGAGCTAAAAAAGAAAAAAAAAATCAATCCAAGAGGAAGCTTATTAAGGGAGCTCTGGTGGCCTAGTGGCAAGAAGCTGCACTGCAATCCCAGAGGTACACGGTTCGAATCCACCAGATGCTCTGCTGAAAAAGGAGGGGCAATCTCCTCCTGTACCAGTCAGATCTGATTTGATGGTACACACACACGCACAAAATAATAAAATAAAAGTTTTTTTAAAAAATTTTTAAAAAGAGGAAGCTTATTTTTCTAGCACAGATTTCTGCCTCTTGGACCTCACACTTTCAGACCTGCTGCTGATGGTATCTTGTGTAATGTGTCAAGCTGCTGAGCAAAAGGTTAGCTGTTCAAATACACCAAGAACTCCTCAGGAGGAAGACAATCTCCTCCTATAAAGCTTTGCAGCCTGAGGAACCCCGAGGAGGCTTGCTATATAAGTCAGAACTGACTAGATGGCAATGGAGTGATTTTTGTGCAAGTCATGAGTGGTAAGAACTCAGCTGCTAAGGGTAGTTTAGGGCTTCATATTCACCCAGAGGTATATGAAAAGTCTAGCTACTTACTTCTGAAAAATCAGCCATGGACAATTTTTTTGTGGGGTGAGGAAAAGGGGGTTGGGAAGCTTCTTTTTTTTAATGAGATTTTAATGACAGTTTATAAAGAACCTAGATTTCCATTCATTCATTTATTGTTACTTTTTCCTCCCTGCCCCCGTACCCCCCACCCCCAAGTTCGCTCTTTTCTTTGTTCTTTCATTGTTATATAGCCCCCTCCCCAGACCACTTTACTATGCAGCTCTTATTCTGGACTCTTGTCATGCCAATAATACCTAATCATATATTCCTTTTATACAGTTCTCTCCCTCATCCGTTTCAATGTCGTGTATTTATCCACTCTTTTCTTAGTTTCCCCCAACCTCCATATCAGTCCTGTTTTAAAGCTGTGGTGTTACATGGTATTTGTCTTTTTGTGGCTGAGATATTTCACTCAGCATAATGTCCTCCAGGGTCACCCGTTTTGTATCATATTTCATGAGTTCTTTGTTTTTCAGTGCGGTGTAATATTCCATTGTGTGAATATACCACAGCGTCTCTATCCATTCATCTGGTGGTGGGCACTTGGGTTGTTTCCAACTCTTTGCTATTGTGAACAAAGCAGCAATAAACATGAGTGTGCGTATATCTGCCTGGGTGGCAGTTCTGTAGTGGAATTTTAAGAGCCATCTATAAACCTCAAACCCACTGCTCCAGAGTGGATGCTGGCTCTTAGCAACCCTGTAGGACAGAGCAGATCTGCCCCATAGGATTCCCAATTCTGTAAACCTTTATGGAAGCAGATTGCCTCATCTTTGTCTTGAGGAGCATGTGGTGGGTTCAAACAGCTGACCTTGTGGTTACCAGTCAGGAACTATCTATAAGGGATCCATTTGAACCCAACAACTGGAAAGGTTAACTTGAAAGCATTGGATGGAGATTGTGAATGTATATCCATGATACTGGAGTTAGGGGTTATCAAGGTGGCTATGACTCAGAATAACCCTGTCCTGTGCCAACCTCACGCTTGCTTTCATGTTCAAGGTCATTGTCGTAGTCATTGTTACTACAGGACAACCATTAGGGGAAGAGGGTGAGAATGGTTGGTTGCATAACTTGAAAAATGTAACACGTGTCAGTGGATTTTGCTTGTAGAAATGGTCACAGGGGTGTGTATTCTGCTGTATATTTACTCTCAGCAATGACTGCAGTAAACACAAGAAATTGAAATGAAAAAGCAAACCCGAAGGAGTACAGTTCTACTCTGACACTCTTGGTAGAGAGGGGCTTAGTGGAAAGGTGTTGTGCTGCCTACCCAAAGGCACAGGTTCAAATCCACCAGCTGTTCTGCTGGAGAAAGATGGACAATGTCCTTCTGTGTGATATACAGTCTGAAAACCACTGGAGTGTCAGCTATGAGCGAGTTCCACTCCATGCTATACAGCAATAACAACAACTGGTTATTGGTTAACAATTTTTTAATAGAAACCAGGCTGTGTGTGTGTGTGTAACAGAAATGCGCTTTGAGATATAGTTGTAACCTCTGTGAAAATGTGCCATGAATGAGGACACTGGGGTTTTTCTTTTTTTTTTCTTTTTTTCTTTGTAAATGCTGTCTTAACACTTTAATTTGTTTGTTTGGATGTTGGGGGGGGTTGTCTCTTTTTTTTATTAGTTTGTATATATTGTGTTTTACCCTATTCTTCATTCATATTGTGTTTCATACAATCATTCTCATGCATTATGTTTAATAAAATTAATCACCATTGCACCTTGCCCATCATTACCCTGTCTTTTCACCCAGATCTTTCCCATTTCCTTCCTCACCTTCCACCCACCAAACTGTGCAACCCTGTGGCCCCGCCCCCGTCCATCCTCAGACCTCTGCTCTTTACCCCTCTCCCCATGGGTTCCCATACAAGTTTTACTAGTCATCCTTCTATTTCAGGTGGCGTCGTGGCATTAGCCATCACCAGCTTCATGGCGGAGGTGAAATTTCATGACCTGACCGCCCGCATCGCCAACTTCCAGGAGAAGCTCTTCCAGTTCGTGGTGGTGGAGGAGCGTTATGAAGAGTCCTTCTGGATCTGCGTGGCCAGCGCCTCGGCCCACGCCGCAAACCTGGTGGTGGTGGCCATCAGTCAGATTCCCCTCCCTGAGATTCAGACCAAAATAGAAGAGGCAACGGTCACAGCAGAGGACATCCTGTATTAGCAGCCCTCGCGGACTCACACTCTGTCATTATTGTCCTGCGAAGAGAGACCTCATTTATCTTTGCAGCCTTTGCACTCCCGTAGGTTCGTGTTCTCAACAGTTGGCAGGAAGGAGGAATCTGAGCCCAGTGTCATGGATTTGGTCCCTGAAAATAACTGTATTTAACTATATTGTGGAAGCTATGTAATGATCCCTGTGATCTGTTAAACCCAAATGGTTGTAAGAGAATTAGGGGTAGAACACAATACCCCTTAATCTTGTCACAACCCTCGCTGGATCTAAGGGGAGTTCCTCTATGGGTAGTTGCTAATATATTTTCTATTACTAGAGATAAAAGGGGAGGAAAGTGAGCCCACTTGAGGATCTCACCAACATCAAGAAAGAATCACCAGGAGTGGAGCGAGTCCACTTGGACCCAGGCCCCCGCCTGAGGAAGCTCCTTGACACAGGAGAAGGGGAGGAGAGCTCTCCAGGGAATGTTTCTTCTACTGATGTTAAAGAAAACAAGGACTTTCCTTCAGAACTAACAGAAAGAACCTTCCCCTAGAGCTGTCAAACTGGATTTGGATTTCTAGCATAAATGGTAAGAAAGTGAATCTACATTTGTGAAAGTCATCTATTTTTGGTATCTTATCATAGCCTCACTAGGTAACTAAGAGGAAGCTCTGATGTCCTAGGCTGGAAACACTTTGTGCTCCTAACTCCCAAGGTCACATCTCTCTAGGGATTCGAATCCACAGTCATCTCTGAGGGGAAAAATGAGAAACCTTCTCCAGGGTAATCTGTAGCCCCAGAAAACCCAGTGGAGGGTTTTATTGAGTCATTTGCAACTCAATGGCAATGAATTGAGTGAGAGAGCTAAGACAGCAAGAAAGAAAGCCTTCCCCAGAGGCCCAGGCATCCCTCAGTAACCTGTGGTTGAAGGGGTCCTCCTGGCTTGGAGTTGGAGACCTTGGTGCATGCCTTATTGCTGCCACTTACCAACTGTGTGTGACAGTAAAGCAAATCAATGAATGTCCCCTTTGCCATTTGCTGACCTGAGAAACAAGGCTGAGAACAACCCCATAAGGTTCTGAAGTATAAATGGATTATAAGTCATCAGCTATTGTATTATATATAAATAAAAGATATCGTATGCTCCAGTAAATGGCTACAGACCTCTGATCTGTCCAGCACAACATTAGGTGAAGATGTGAGGACACTGTCCCTGCCTTCCAGAAACTCCTGATATTTTCCCCAGAATGCAGCAATCAGACAGCATCAGTAACATTTTAAAAAATAGTACCATTATTTACTAACATGTATTGAGTAATTCAGGAGCCCTTAGTGACACAACAAGGGATCCCTAGTGGACTGTGGTTAAAGCACTCAGTTACTAACCAAAATATCAACTGTTCAAAACCACCACTGGCTCTCAGCCAGGTAGATGAGGCAATTTGCCATAATGGTCTCAGTTTGGGGGAACCCATGGGGCAGTTACACCGTGTCATGTAGGGTTGCTTTGAATCAGAATTAACAGGATGGCTGTGAGGTTCAGTGGTGTGATGATTAAGTATGCGGCTACTAACTGAAAGGTTGGTGGTTCAAACCCATTTCTTGGTGCCTCTGGATAAAGACCCAACAATCTGCTCCTGTAACAAATGTGACCTAGAAAACTCTATGGGGCAGTTTGACTGTTACACAGAGTCACCATGAGTCAAACTAACCCCACAGTACCCACCAACAACCACACACACACACACACACACACACCATGTAGCATACTATGCCAACACTGAGTATTGATTATTGTCTTTGCTGTAAGTTATCTTCTCAGAGTCTAGAGGCTAAAAGTTTAAATCTGTCTTGGCTGTGTCAATTCTTTCCTGTTAATAATCTCAGGTGTGTCTCAGTCCCTTGTAGATTATCCTCACATGATGTCTGTCCTCACTACAAATCTTTTTTGTCTAAACTCTTTTTATAACTGATTAGATCTAGAGCCCACTCTACTTGGATCTTGTCTAATCAATACACAGATACAACTCTGTTTCCACACTCTAAATGTCCATCAACAAATGAACAGATTAAGAAACTGTGGTGCATTCACATGATGGAATATTATGCAGCATTAAGGAGCAATGATTTTAAACAAATACTACATAACATAGTAGAGGCTAGAGAGCATTATGCTAAGTTAACTCAGTTACATAGGGACAACTACTGCGTTAAACCTTTATAGGAAAAATAGGAGGATGGCTAGTAAGATGTGTATAAATTCCAAAGTAGGAAGGGGAGTGGGCAGGGGGGCTGAGGGTGTGCAGAGTAGGAATCATGGGGTCGCAGACTTTGGTGGGTAGAGGGAAGGGGAGAAGTAAATAGGAAAGATTCAGTGAAGACCTGAAAAGATGAGGTAATAACTGGCATAGATCAATGGTGATTAATTTTATAAGACACAATGTATGGGAATGACTGTATGAAACACAATGCAAATGAAGGAATGTGTGGAACGCGATATATGTATAATGAAATATAATGCATATGACTCTTGTATGCAAACCAATATAATAAAAAATTACACACAAAAAAAAACCCCAAACTCTATTTCTAAACAGAACTGCATCCAAAGGTGTATTGTTGTTGTTAGGATCATCGGGTGCACTTGAACTCATAGAGACCCTATGAACAACAGCAGAACCTTGTCCCATCCTGCAGCACCCTCATCCTCCCCAACATGCCCATGCCCGTTAATTGCAGCTTCTGTGTCAATCTACTTAATCTAGAATCTTCCTCTGCTTCTCTGACCTTATATTCCATATAATGTCTTTTTCCAAGGACCGGCCCCTCCTTACAACGTATCCAAAGTTTGTGCGACAAAGTTTCACCATCCTTGCCTCTAAGTAACATTTTGTTGGCACGTCTTCAAAGATAAATCTTGTTCTTTTCTCAGTCCGTGGGATATTCAGTACTCTTCTCCAACACCACAACTCAAAGGTGCCAATTCTTCTGCTGTCATCCCTGTTCACTGTCCAGCTTTCAGATGCATAAGAAGCAACTGAAAAAGAACCATGACTTGGATCAGCACACGTTAGTCTTTAAATTGGCATCCTGGCACTTGCACTTTGGAGAGGCACCGATTCCTCTTTGGTCTTCTCTGCCACTGTCAGTTAACCATAGGGCAGCGGCTTTCCTGTGGCTGTAATACTAGACGCCATGCTGCTGGTATTTCAAGTATCCGCATGGTTACCCCGGACAGGTGTCAGCAGAACTGCCAGGTTAAGCCAGACTAAATCTGAAGAGGGACTGGGCATCCATGACTGAAATAGCAGGCCTTCAAAATCCCTGTGAATCCAAAGGTGTATGATTTAGGACTCCAATACATATTTGGAGGAACACAATTTCGTTTATAACAATTAGTCATAAAGAGAATTGTCAGAATAGTCAGAGAGAATTGTAAGATTTTGACTCATTAAGTCCTCATCATAAACATAGATGGAACTATGACTGTTAGGTGCCAATTCTGATTCTTGGTAACCCCATTTGACAAAGTAGAACTTCCCCATGGAATTTTCTTGGCTATAACATTTTATGGAAGCAGATTGCCAAGTGTTTCTCCCAAGGAACCTTTAGATATGTTCTAATTATCAACCTCTCAACTAGCAGTCAAGTGCTTGACCTTTTAACTTAAATGATGCGTAATGTTTATCCCTATTTTACAGATAAAGAGAGTAAGGCATGGAGAAGTTGGGTGACTTGCCAAGGTCAGGAATTTAATCTTGGCAGCTCAGAACCAGAGTTCATACTTTTAACCACTTTGCTAATCTAGTTTTCTACATATAAGCAATTACAATGCAGTGTGAACGTGTTCCAGCCGTACTTGTACAAAGGATCGGGGCAGAACGAATTCTTTGCAGCAGGATATAGTATACAAGGAAGCGTGGCATCGCTGGTATTTGATCTGACCTTTGAAAGACGAGTAGACTTTTTCCATTGATGAAGGAGGCAGGGCTGGAGCAGGGCATTCTGGGAGGAGTAAACAATGTGTGTGGGTACCCAGCATCACAGCACGAAATTACAAGGCAAGCATTTGGAAGCATATAAATACCCCGTGGGATTGGAATATTGCTCTGACCTACACAGCTGGTTTGTGTTGCATTTTCCTAAGTGACGTGAAGTGAACCTGGCCAGGCTCCACCTTAAGTGCAGTGGATATGTTACTGGGAGATGCTAACCCCTAGGGAAAGATAATATTCTGGCCAAAGCAGAGAGTCTATGAAAAAGGAGAAGACCCTCACAGAATTGGGCTCAGCACAGTGGTTATAACAATGAGCTCAAACACAACCACCATTGTGAGGGTGGTGTTAGAGCCAGGCAGTGTGGCATGCTGTCGTGCTAGGGTCCCAATGCATCAGAGCTCACTCAAGGCACCTTTTGTTGTTGTTGTTGTTGTTGTTAGGTGCTATCAAGTCAATTATGACTCATAGAGATCCTATGAACAATAAGTCGGAACCCTGTTCTTCCCTGTGCCAACCTCACACTTCCTGACACAGTAGAGCTCAATGCAGCAATCACTGTGTCAATTCACCTTGTTAAGGGTCTATTTCTCCTTTGCCAACCCTCTACCTTTCCAAGCATCATGTCCTTCTCCAAGGAACAGCTCCTCCTAGCAACATGCCCAAAGTATGTGAGGCAACGTTTCATCATCCTTGCCTCAAAAGAGTGCTCTGGGTGCACCCTCTCCAAGACATCTTTGTTTGTTCTTTTAGCAGTCCATGGGATTTTCAGCACGCTACGGCTCAAAGTCACCAATTCTTTTCTATCATCCTTATTCATTGTCCAGCTCTCAGATGCATAGCAAGTAATCAGAAAGACCACGGCCTGAATCAGACGTACCTTGGTCTTCAAACTGACATCATTACTATTCAATAACTTAGAGAGGTCCCTAATTATAGAATTTCCCAGTGCAATGCATCTCCTAATTTCCTGACCGCTGGTACCAAGGGTATTAATCATGGATCCAAGTA